TTAATGTTGGAGGAAAGCCCGAAGTGATGCAGGTCTCAGACGTTTACCACTTCGGTGAAACCCACGAGCACGGGTATGGTGCTGACAAACCTAGAAACCGCAATCATAGGTTTCTGGCGTGTCTAAGGGACGCAACTCTGCACAGCGAATCGCCGCGCCTCAGACGACTGGGCCACCCGTGTCCCCATTAATTGTTGGACTAACGGTCGAATTACATATTGATTTGGTTTGTGTTGCTTTCGAATATCTTTTAAGGATGTACATATAGTGGTGAAATGATACAGAATTCGATATTGTTTAGATTACAATATGTACATAATCTCTCAGATTTTGGAATTTTGTGGTGTCTCCCGATATCAATAGTAAGTCTTGTACATTTCACTCGAGCACCAGCAAAATCGGTAGCAAATGTACACAAGGTCGAATTTATTACATATTTCTCTGTTTCTAGGCTTATCTTAAAAGTGTATAATATTCATATCAAGGACTAGATGACAATATATTGGTCGGGGCGGGGATGAATATAGGCTGCTGGAGCCAAAAGGGGTGAATATAGGCTGCTAGAGCCAAAAGGGGTGAATATAGGCTGCTAGAGCCAAAGAGGGGGTGAATATAGGCTGCTAGAGCCAAAGAGGGGGTGAATATAGGCTGCTGGAGCCAAAAGGGGTGAATATAGGCTGCTAGAGCCAAAGAGGGGGTGAATATAGGCTGCTGGAGCCAAAGCGGGGATGAATATAGGCTGCTGGAGCCAAAGCGGGGATGAATATAGGCTGCTAGAGCCAAAAGGGGGTGAATATAGGCTGCTAGAACCAAAGAGGGGGTGAATATAGGCTGCTAGAGCCAAAGAGGGGGTGAATATAGGCTGCTGGAGCCAAAAGGGGTGAATATAGGCTGCTAGAACCAAAGAGGGGGTGAATATAGGCTGCTAGAGCCAAAGAGGGGGTGAATATAGGCTGCTGGAGCCAAAGCGGGGATGAATATAGGCTGCTGGAGCCAAAGCGGGGGTGAATATAGGCTGCTAGAGCCAAAAGGGGTGAATATAGGCTGCTAGAGCCAAAGAGGGGGTGAATATAGGCTGCTAGAGCCAAAGAGGGGGTGAATATAGGCTGCTGGAGCCAAAAGGGGTGAATATAGGCTGCTGGAGCCAAAGCGGGGGTGAATATAGGCTGCTGGAGCCAAAAGTGGTGAATATAGGCTGCGAGAGCCAAAGCGGGGGTGAATATAGGCTGCTGGAGCCAAAAGGGGTGAATATAGGCTGCTAGAGCCAAAAGGGGTGAATATAGGCTGCTGGAGCCAAAAGGGGTGAATATAGGCTGCTGGAGCCAAAAGGGGTGAATATAGGCTGCTAGAGCCAAAGCGGGGATGAATATAGGCTGCTGGAGCCACACAGCTGAAACAGATGCTGGCTGTGATATGAAATGACCATTAAGCATAATTTACCCTTACTTGAAAAAAATACAACATGAACATATATATATATATAAAATGGTTTATCGCAATAACCTAAACTGACGCGAAAAGAAACGTAAACAACCCACACTGGTAGTTCCTAAAAGCAGAACTGTAAAGGAAGATACTTGTATGGTCAAAAGGCATGCATTAAGAACATCATTAACGTCACGTTATGCCATGAGAATTAAGTTTGCCTAAAATGTACCCTATAGCAGTCTGAGTTGCATGCGTTGTAAGGATGAAAGGTTTGTTTTGGTCGGGATATGCAAGGATGGGGGCTGTTATATAAGGGCTTGCTTTAGCTTTTCGAATGCCTGTTGTCAATTGTTGGACCATTCGAAAGACGCGTTTTTTTCAGAAGGTTATATAGCGGGGAGGCGATGCCAGGAAAGTGTGCTACAAATTTGCGATAATACGAGGCCAAATCTAAGAAATGACGCATGTCATGGACATTGTTAGGGGGTTTGGATCAGTGTGACTGAATCTATTTTTGACGGATCGGCATGGATGTCATCTTTGCTGAAGATATGCCCTAAGTAGTTTTGACTTGTTTTGTCGCGAATTTACATTTGCTCGGTTTTAGAGTCCTGCTTCTTTGATTTTTTTGAATACTGCCTTGAAATGATTCCAGTGTTCTGAAAACGTTTTAGAAAATGTTATGATGTCATCTACATTTATTAATATGTAACGCCAATTCATTTCTTTTAATGCCTGAAAGGGTTTGCTTAAATGCCACAGGAGCATTTTTGAGGCCAAAAGGGGTGCGATTAAAAACACCATCGGATGTAATGAAGACCGACTTGTGTTTTATCTGGATGGAGTGATATTTGCCAAAAGCCACTATCACACTGAAAACGTTGGCATAGCTGTAGCTTCTATGTGGTATAATGGACATTTTCAAACGTGGCAGAGGGGAAATATAGGCTTGGTGACTGCATCAAGGCGCTTTCTCGTTTCTTAACCATGACAACGGGAGAGTGCCATTCAGAAGAACTGGGCTGAATGATACTGGCTTCTAACACACACACACACACACCCCCCCCCCCCCCCCCCCCCTATATATATAGTTATACTGTGGGGAGCTAATCGGTGTTATAGTTCCAGATGAGTGAAATGCAGTTTACACACATCATCTTTGGATTTTATGTGACCATCTATGCACAGCATGTATGTTTATGTATTGTAAACTGAAAGTCAGTCTGTCAGAGTCAGGACATTCATTTCCGTGTTATTATCACAGCGGTTAGCCCCCGGTCAGGCCTAGTCACAGTATCCGGAAGTTGCTTACATTTCAGGGAACTGTGTGTGACTCACAGAAGACTGTACATCACTAGCTACTATTACATGTATCCATCACAAATAAAATTTAGTCGACTATTAGCAAGAAAAAAATGTTGAGCAAATACAAGACATTGCTATATATTTGAAAACAAATCTGCATCATACCTACCTACCTACCTACCTACCTACCTACATACATACATACATACATACATACATACATACATACATACATACATACATACATACATACATACATACATACATCATTGATCTACTACAGCATTTGTCCCACCTGCCCATGTGCAAAAGCTTTGTCTTCTTTCTTGTACCCTTGACCATGTGGTCTTTGATACCGGGTGGGGTAGGGACTTGACCATGTGGTATTTGATACCGGGTGGGGTAGGGACTTGACCATGTGGTATTTGATACCGGGTGGGGTAGGGACTTGACCATGTGGTCTTTGATACCGGGTGGGGTAGGGACTTGACCATGTGGTATTTGATACCGGGTGGGGTAGGGACTTGACCATGTGGTATTTGATACCGGGTGGGGTAGGGACTTGACCATGTGGTCTTTGATACCGGGTAGGGTAGGGACTTGACCATGTGGTATTTGATACCGGGTGGGGTAGGGACTTGACAATGTGGTATTTGATACCGGGTGGGGTAGGGACTTGACCATGTGGTATTTGTTACCGGGTGGGGTAGGGACTTGACAATGTGGTATTTGATACCGGGTGGGGTAGGGACTTGACCATGTGGTCTTTGATACCGGGTGGGGTAGGGACTTGACCATGTGGTATTTGATACCGGGTGGGGTAGGGACTTGACCATGTGGTATTTGATACCGGGTGGGGTAGGGACTTGACCATGTGGTATTTGATACCGGGTGGGGTAGGGACTTGACCATGTGGTCTTTGATACCGGGTGGGGTAGGGACTTGACCATGTGGTCTTTGATACCGGGTGGGGTAGGGACTTGACCATAAGGTCTTTGATACCGGGTGGGGTAGGGACTTGACCATGACCAGATGATCTATTATGTTTTGTTTTATTGTTTGTTGTTTAACTAGTAACTCAGAATATTCCAACTATATGATGGCGGTCTGTAAATAATCGAGTCTTGCCTAGACAATCCAGTGGTTGACATCATAAGCATCAATTTACGTCCTATATAGGGATACAATGACATGCATCAACCAAGTTAGGAGCCAGACCACGCGATCCCGTTATTCGCCTCTTACGGCAAGCATGGGTTGCTGAAGATCAAATCCAATCCGGGTGCTCGCAGGTCTGGGGTTCGTCCGCAAACAAATCGCCACTTGAAACAGACACAATCTATCTCCGATCTCAGTGTAATAGTCAGGTATTAGACACAAGAGCAAACACAAATGTGATGGGGGATTAAAAACACATCGGTGACGTCTTTCTATTGTTTGAGCGCTCCATTATTTTTCAGGAATGGAGAGTTGATTGTGTTTAAATGTTTTGTCATAGTGTAAGAGTAGGGGTGTGTTTCAAGTGGGGGAATACCCGGGTAACTCTCCATTCCTTTAAAATAATGGGCCTCGGCTTTACTATTTTTAAATAATGGAGAGTTGACGACGTTAGAGATGACCATTCACCTGGCTGTCTTAGTGTGTCATCGTACCCTAAAGTAGTGGACGGAGGTACAACTTGTAGCGACCGTTATTTACACAGCCTGTTTTCAGTTATTTGATCCGGGTTTTTTTGCTGACAATGACGAAAACCCCATAAACTCCTATCAAACTAACGATACAATGAGGCGACCAGTCCATGTGTGGAAATACTAAGTCAGTAGATTATCTGATAGGTCATCAACAGTAAATGACTTGAGAAATTAATTCCCACGAGAAGTGCTGGTTGTTTTTACATATGCGTGCCATCCATGGGATGCGGAAGGCAGTGACACACACACTTCCGGCCAGGCTTTCTGCCCTCTGTATGCATCCCAGCATTGGCTGCTCGCCCTACTCCAGGCACCTCAGCTCTGCGTCTTGCAGTGTAAGTGAGTGTCAGTGTCAAGTCACTGTGAAATTAAGGAAGCTACGACAGTCGAATAGATCACTTTCTGGAAGGATCAGAGGACTGTGTCATATATTTGGTAGCATTCGTTGCTCAAGGTACATGAGGCAGTAATACAAATATAATACAGCGACAAAACCATTTCCATTTTCATGAGAAATCTGCTGAAAGCATAGTCGATTGTACGATACTGACTATAAAATGAACAAGCATCAATGAATCACTATCAAATTGTGTTTATACAAGGTGACAAAAACAAAACAAAAACAATAATAACCAATAAAACGTCCTAGGTTGAAAGAGCGCGACGAATATTTGACCTGTCAAAAAGGACGACCAATTACACCCAATAATTCGGTCGTATACGACATTTCAAAGACCTCTTGAGTAGGAGCATCTCCGTGCTGTCTGGACCTGCTGGAGCATATCCCAGGCGCTAGTGTTGACATGTCGGAGATGCTTCTACACAAGTCAGGATACTGTATATTAGTCCGCGGAAACTGTAATGTGACCGACATGTAACATCCTGTGCATGCTCCTGTGCAGGCCCCGTGGTTTCAGGTGATGGTGACGTGCATCGTCCAGCCGACCCATATGACCGCCACAGCGGACAGAGAAGACACAGCCATGGAACCTGGGGAGGACATGCAACGTTCTTTAATACACACATGATATGATCACGTACTATGTCCCTTACAAGGGCCATCATTCAACGGAATCAAATTTGCTTTCTGATTAGGTCCCTATCTCGGACTATAACATCAAAATTTACTTCAAGGGGCAACACAAGAGAGCAGTGATTCAACCTTTTCTGAAAACGGTCCATGAATTTGACGGAAGTGTTGTATCGAAAGGTGGCTCAAGGTTCACGTCTACAGTCCCTCATTGTCCACACCTGGCACTAAACCTACCTCTCCACACAAAGCAACATCAGTATTGATACTGGTAACTACAAGAACGGGGAACTGGCCACAATGTAGGGTCTGCTCTATTTCTAAAGGTCCGATTGCACAAAGCGACTATCATAAATCTATGTTAAGGTACTGAATTTGCAATATGGTAGCGTTAAGATCCCTTTGTGCAAAGGAACCCTGGTTAGTTCCTGGTTGTACCTGGGTAGCCCCTGGTTAGTACCTCGTTACAATTTGTTAAAACCTGGTTAGCACCTGCTAAGCACCTCGATAGTACCTGGTTAGTACCTGCTTTGCACCTGGTTACTATTTGGCCAGCACCTGGTTAGAACCTGATTAGCATCTAGCTAGTACCTGGTTAGTACCTATTTAGCATCTGTTAGAACCTGGTTAGTACCTAGTTAGCACCTTGTTAGCACCTGGTTATTACCTCGAAAGTACCTAGTTAGTAGATAGTACCTAGATAACACCTGGTTAGTACCTGGTTAGTACATGGTTTATACTTGGCCAGTCCTGGTTAGTACCTAGTTAGCATCTGTTAGAACCTGGTTAGCACCTGGTTAGTACCTGGTTAGTACCTAGTTAGCACCTTGTTAGCACCTGGTTATTACCTCGAAAGTACCTAGTTAGTAGATAGTACCTAGATAACACCTGGTTAGTACCTGGTTAGTACATGGTTTATACTTGGCCAGTCCTGGTTAGTACCTAGTTAGCATATGTTAGAACCTGGTTAGCACCTGGTTAGTACCTGGTTAGCACCTGGTTAGTACCTGGTTAGTACCTCGATAGTACCTGGTCAGCATCTGGTTAGCACCTTGTCAGTACCTGGTTACTACCTGGAGATAGCACCTGGTTAGTACCTAGATAGTACCTGGTTAGTACCTGGTTAGCACCTGGTTTGTATCTAGTTAGCACCTTGTTAGCACCTGCTTATTACCTCGATAGTACCTCGACAGTACCTGGTTAGTACCAGGTTAGCACTTGGTAGGCACCTGGTTAGTACCCAGTTAGTACCTGATTAGCACCTGGTTAGTACCTGGTCAGTATCTGGTTAGTGCCTGGTTAGTAGCTGGTTAGCACCTGGTTAGTACCCGGATAGTACCTGGTTAGCACCTGGTAAGCATCTGGTCAGTATCTGGTTAGAACCTGTTCAGTATCTGGTTAGTGCCTGGTTAGTATCTGGTTAGCACCTGGTTAGCCTGATTGAAATGGCATCTTCACACAGGACACAGTGCCTAGTCCTACACGTGAAGTAGCCACCAGACACTGGATTGTAGAACTGTATTTGCATGCGCAACCAATGATGATTATATTTAGAAGATATCCGCTACTTACTGTCAGTGCCTGAAGATGAGGTTCCCACACCTGAAAGAGATTTGAAAATATATGTCAAAACTATTCACTATCCCTTTCATCTAGATGCACCACTGTTGCGTGTTGTCAGTCCTTGGCAGAGAACGAATAGGAAGGGTATAAGCTGATTCAACGCAACAAGGTGTTGAGGGGATGTAGACCATTTGGCAATCATCGCCCACAATTAAAGAAAGGGTCACATTGTACCATATACACAGATGTTATATACTCCTGGTTTTTATTTAGCACCTTCTGTTTTTTCGACCATGTATGTCTAACAACACGGTATAAAGTCTAAAATCCAGTCTTATTTTTCAGGAAATATGTAAAACTGCCTGAGTGAAAAAGTCAATATACATAATGACTGACATTTTCAGTCGGTATACTGATTATAGACATGGACTGTGACATATATGTAACAATGAAACAAGCCCAGAAGGTGTTACGTGTTCTCCACCTTGGGGGTTAGATGCATCCCTTGTCGAGTCCTCTTCCTCAGCTGGAGGGGTGGTGGGGAACGTCCCTGGTATTTGCGAACTCGACTTCTTCATTTCAGTGGAAGATCTCGTTCCATATCCGGTGTGATCTGTTGATTGGGTGGAGGTCTTCCTGGATTGATGAAAACCTGGCGAACCTTCTGTGGACAGTCCTGGAAGAATGGAAAGGGGGGTAACTCGGGAGGTTCTCGTGTTTGTTACTAGACTCTTGTATTTTGTACTGGTAATTTGAGACGTAAGTTTTGATGTGGGTACTGTGACGTCATCTGTGGAGGATATTGGTAGCTCAGTGACCCGCGGTGTGCTTGAAGGATGTCGTCTGACAACTGTGGACATGTACTTCGTTGTGGACCTAGTGACGTGGTTTGCGTTCGTCGTGGCCTCAGTAACGGTCTCCCGGCGGGATGCGGTTGAGGATGGGACGAGGGTCTGTCTGTCTGTTGAGGACACTGGCGGAACACTTGTACCCTTCAGGCGCGTGGACGTGACGTCTGTGGTCTGGGTATCTGTCATTTCAGTACGATTGATGCGTGCAGACGACATCGTGGGAACACTTGTACCCTTCGAGCGCGTGGACGTGACGTCTGTGGTCTGGGTATCTGTCATTTCAATACGATTGTTGCGTGCAGACGACATCGTGGGGACACTTGTACCCTTCGAGCGCGTGGACGTGACGTCTGTGGTCTGGGTATCTGTCATTTCAATACGATTGTTGCGTGCAGACGACATCGTGGGAACACTTGTACCCTTCGAGCGCGTGGACGTGACGTCTGTGGTCTTGGTATCTGTCAGTTCAAAACGATTTGTGCTTTGTATGTAAGGGGTGGCAGCTGTTGCCGAGGGGGAACTTTCGAGTTGACTGGTTCCGTCAGTTTCTGGGATCCCGCGTGTAGGCGCTATAACAGAAAGCGGCACATGGACACTGTTCTCATTTAACATGGCGTCCACCACATATGCACAGCCAGGGGGAGGGTACACGCGGGAAGCATGCTAATGCACAGACACATGCTTTCAAGGACAGTCAAGAATGGTGATAACTGCGTTGGACCAATAACGGGTTGTTCTGCATCCTCTTGCAAGCGTCATGCGCCAAACACTGTGCTGGGTAGGTAGGTAGGTAGGTGGGTGGGTAGGTCAAATGACGGCGAGCAATGATTGTCAAGTGTACGTCCACGGGGCTAATACACTGCCCGACATGCAGCAATAACACCAGGGAGACACATGGTCCGAGCATTCCAATATGTAATGAAGACCAACGTAGTTATTGTTTGAAACACCTGAACGTAATGAAAGACAAAGGAAGCATGCAAATCAATTTCGTTTACCTGATTCTGAAATACGAGCGGTAATTTCCTTAAGAACAGCTGAAACATATATATGATGAAGTTACTGTCTGCCATGTCATGTTAGTTACACAAGCCCAAGGGGATTCCAGGCTAGGATTGCTTCCACTAACCTATGCTTGTCGTTACAGGCGATTTATGTATTATCAAATCAGGCGCTCGTCCTCGGATAACGGGTCATCGTACCTCGACGGCGTGGATCGTTGATCAATGCTCATAACATCAATCACTGGATTGTTTATACAGATTATATATAGGCCGTCATCAGATAGCTGAAATATTGCTGAGTGCGGCGTTAAACAACAAACAAAACATATCTTATCAATCACAGCCTCGTGGATGTTTACTCGGGGTCATGAACAGGGCACATGATGAAAGTGACAGACTGGATACATACCTGTGCAGTTATATTCTGTATCTATATTCGACACTGACTGTTCTACTCCGGAATTGTCGATGTTTCCGACGCACACACGTCTGGCATTCAGGGCACAGGTTCTGTAGCTGACCACTGACCTAGAGTGGGAGAGTGATTAACACTGCTTAATTAAGAACTGACTTCATTTTGTGAACAGCTGGCTGGACCACCAACAATGTCATGACTGATTCACACACATAGGTTGCACCAGCCAGATTAATCATTTCAGCAATATCCTCACAACCACATCAACCAGTATGCCGGACAGTGAAGACACCGCTGCACACTCCACTGCAACGTTTACGTTATCATCTTCTACCACACTAACATCGGCGGGGGTGGAGAAAACTAACCCTGAAGCAGACCTATTAACACAGTAGTGGTGTGCACACTAAATCCCACACCTCGCTAACACATCGTGTTATAAGAGAAACACTGTTCAAAGAGGCGTTATACCTAAATCAATCATCCACACTAAAAATAAATTTGTAGGTTTGTAGGACCATCCATATTTTAATGTGTTTCTCATCTCCAACATCAGCCAATGAGAGAACGGGCCAAACAAAATATTTTTTCAAAACCAAGAAAACTATAAAAACTGTTTTTCAATAATTGTGTAGCTTATTTTACGACATTTTAAAGTTTAAAACATTTGGTACCTGTCTTTAAAGTAATTTATGACGTAGATCGAGTCACTTTGCTTCGGAAACGAATTTTTAATAAACATAGCTGAAGAAAAATCAAGCTGAGCTGGGCTTTTAATGAATGTGCAATGATTGTAGTGTATTTTTTTATCAGATAAGGGAAAAAGTCCACAGCGGCGGTGAACATTGAGATGCGGAAACTTTTTTTTATTATTTCATGTCGGATTGAAGATTCAGGGCGGCCGGGAGATGGGAAACACAGGAAAGATACGGACGTCCTGGTAGGTTGTATGTCGAACTTTACCGGCAGATGACGACGTGATCGGAACTGCTGAAGCCGGGAAAGACTTTCACCCCACAGTCATCTAACTGCGTGCAACCACTGTTGAACTGTGATATGACAGGAGTAACTGTGCACACTGAAATCAACATAGGTGATAAAACATCTTAAGTATACATGACACTACATTTACACTATATGACACTATACATGACACTACATGACACTACATGATACAATACATGACAATCTTCATGACACTACATGACGCTACATGACACTATACATGACTATATGACATTTTACATGACACTATGCGGAATATTGCTGAGTGCGGCGTTATGCAACAAACTAACATGACACTATAAATGACACTACACGATACTATACATGACACTACATAACACAATACATGATACTCCATGTAACTATTCATGACACTGTACATGACACTATACATGACACTATACATGAAACTATATGACACTGTACATGACACTATACATGCTACTATGCATGAAACTATATGACACTATACATGACACCATACATGACACTGTACATGACACTGTACATGACACTGTACATGACACTATAGGACACTGTACATGACACCATACATGACACTGTACATGACACTGTACATGACACTATATGACACTGTACATGACACTATACATGAAACTATATATGACACTGTACATGACACTATACATGAAACTATATGACACTGTACATGATACTATACATGAAACTGTATGACACTGTACATGATACTACACGACACTATACATGACACCATACATGACACTGTACATGACACTGTACATGACACTATATGACACTGTACATGACACTATACATGAAACTATATGACACTGTACATGATACTATACATGAAACTATATGACACTGTACATGACACTATACATGAAACTATATGACACTGTACATGGCACTGTACATGACACTATACATGGCACTGTATGACACTGTATATGACACTATACATGAAACTATATGACACTGTACATGATACTATACATGAAACTATATGACACTGTACATGATACTATACATGAAACTATATGACATTGTACATGACACTACACGACACTATACATGACACTGTACATGACACTGTACATGACACTATATGACACTGTACATGACACTATACATGAAACTATATGACACTGTACATGATACTATAAATGAAACTATATGACACTGTACATGACGCTATACATGAAACTATATGACACTGTACATGACACTATACATGACACCATACATGACACTGTACATGATACTATACATGACACCATACATGACAATGTACATGACACTATACATGACACCATACATGACACTGTACATGACACTATACATGACACCATACATGACACTGTACATGACACTATACATGAAACTTTATGACACTGCACATGACACTATACATGACACCATACATGACACTGTACATGACAATATACATGAAACTTTATGACACTGTACATGACACTATACATGACACCATACATGACACTGTACATGACAATATACATGAAACTTTATGACACTGTACATGATACTATACATGACACCATACATGACAATGTACATGACACTATACATGACACCATACATGACACTGTACATGACACTATACATGACACCATACATGACACTGTACATGACAATATACATGAAACTATATGACACTGTACATGACACTATACATGAAACCATATGACACTGTACATGACACTATACATGAAACTATATGACACTGTACATGACACTGTACATGACACTATACATGACACTATATGACACTGTACATGACACTGTACATGACTCTCTACATGACACTACATGACACTATACATGACACCATATATGACACTGTACATGACACTATACATGAAACTTTATGATACTGTACATGACACTATACATGATACTATACATGAAACTATATGACACTGTACATGACACTGTACATGACACTATACATGAAACTATATGACACTGTACATGACGCTATACATGATACTATACATGACACTACATGACACTATACATGATACTATACATGACACTACATGGCACTAGACCCGTGAAGATATGTGGTAGAATAGGCCTTCAGCAACCCATATTTGCCGTAAAAGGCGACTATGCTTGTCTAAAGAGGCGACTAACGGGATCGGTTTGTCATGCTCGGTGACTTGGTTGATGCATGTCATTGTTCCCATTTGCGTGGATCGATGCTCATGATGTCAATCAATTGACTCGATTATTTTCAGGCACCCGTCATATAGCTGGAATATTGCTGAGTGCGGCGTTAAACAACAAACAAACAAACAAACAAACATGTCACTATAAATGACACTACATGACCCTATAATTGACACTACATGACGCTATACATGATCAGATTCATGACACTGTAGATGACGCTATACATGACACCATACGTAACACTGTAAATGACACTGTACATGACACTATACATGAAACTACATGTCACTGTAGATGACACTACATGACACTATACATGAGACTACATAACACTGTAGATGACACTATACATGACAGTGTAGATGACACTACATGAGACACTACGTAACACTCTAAATGACACTATACATGACAAAATTCGTGACAAAATTTGTCACTGTAGATGACACTACATGATACTATACATGACACTACATAACACTGTAGATGACACTTAACATTACACTGTAGATGACACTACATGACACTATACGTAACACTCTAAATGACACTATACATGACAAATTCATGACACTACTTGTTACTGTAGATGGCACTACATGACACTATACATGACACTACATAACACTGTAGATGACACTATACATGACACTGTAGATGACGCTATACATGACAAAATCCATGACACTACTTGTCACTGTAGATGACACTACATGACACTATACATGACAAAACATAACACTGTAGATGACACTATACATGACACTGTAGATGACGCTATACATGACACTCTACGTAACACACTAAATGACTCTCTACATGACTCTACATGACACTGTAGATGACAATGTACATGTCGGTTTAGTTGTATTCCCTAAATTTAAATAATCGACCAAATTCAAATCTCCAGTTTCACAATTTGTTTCCTCCTTGAATCGAAATTAATGTTTCGTGTTGTAATTTGAAACCTCAAGCCTCCATGTAAATAGACCGCCTCCGTGGTCTAGTGGTAGAGCGTCCGCCCGGATAGCGGAAGGTCCGGGGTTTCGATCCCCGTCCGTGTCATACCAAAAGACGTCAAACTCTGGCTGGCTGGCCGGACTAGCACTATAAAATAGGCATTAGTACGGACTAGTAGAAGCAGTCACACACACACATGTGTATGTACGTCTCTATATAAGTGCGGGGGCACGGGTGGCCCAGTCGTCTAAGGCGCCGCCATTCGCTGTACTGAGTTGCGTTCCTTGGGCACGCCAGAAACCTATGGTTGTGGGTTTCGAATTCCGGTTGGCCCCGATTATGTTTCTAGGTTTGTCAGCACCATACCCGTGCTCGTGGGTTTCACTGAAGTGGTAAACGTCTGAGACATGCATCACTTCGGGTTTTCCCGACAGCTATCAAGCTGACACGCCGAGATATAACTGTAATACTGTTCAAAGCGGCGTTAAACCCAACTCACTCACTCATTCACTCACTTTAAGTGCAATACTCGTTGACGCGACGTTAAACCCATTAAACCTCACATCTATCTAAATATATATTTCAACTCTGCATGTCCTATGTTACTTTTTTATGCGTCTCCTGGTTATCACGGTCACATCTGAGTTGCTCTTAATACATCTGCAGTATTTTGATTAATATTATGATTAAAATATAATCTCGCACAGGTTTTGCTAAAATCTCCTTACTCGACCTAACTCGACCAAGTCGGCTGGATTTAGAACTAAGCACATCACATTTGAGGACTTGTTTAGACACAAACCCCTTTTGCTCCATGTTTTGCTCGTGAAGATGAGGCCTATGTGAACTTTGACTACACTGACTTACGAAGTCGAATTTGAAGTAGTGTTTCAGAAACAAGGAGTTATGAATATAGCTAAAACCAGTCTCAGTCATTTTTATAGGTTTCTTACCTTAATTCCATTGATGGATTTACATAAGATATTACTATAATTTGAATTAGCGTCACATTAGATTTAGACATTTGTCCAAGCTATTATGTCGAAATCACGAAGTGTAACTTGCTTGTCACACCTGGCCTTCCAACATTGTTTATAGCTGTGGAAGTTCGACAGTCGGTAAGGATTTTGATTTCTGGGTTTCTTCGTAATCAAATCTAGTCCTGAACCAACAGAAGTTAGAGAAGTTATCGCCCAGCAACTGATAATAGTAATATAGTCAGGACAGACGCTTTACCGACGTTTCGGCTCTACTGGACAACGACAAGACGACTAAGGTAATTCACAGCCTAACACAAACATAAAACACTCAGTGATGTCAAAGGTTTCCAAATACAATAATGAACACCACCGTGTTTCACTCGCAAAGACACAGCGAACCACTTACTGGTCAATCAACAATGAGTTAACAATCGGTGATATTATGATAGAGAAATAAATACTCACTAAAACACAAAAACATAAGATGTGTCCAAACTGCCATGACAAGGGGTGATATATGAACCGTTACTGTCTGTATTAGATGACTGTTGTGACCATGTCGTCCCTCCCTCACTATTCTACTTCCTAGGGAAGTCAGACACAGGAATCAACGTGAGCAATTCCGCCGACAACACACGATGTGGGTTAGTCATACACCATGTGAACTGGGGCTGTTTTCAAAGTCTGTACCACGTTTCATGTACCTCCCCAGTAACAGTATTTAGCAGCTGTTGTGTAGCCCAGACTTGTTGTAACATGGTATAAGGAAGGGGGAAATAACGACATGGATTGTTTTAACGATGAAATGGAAATATTTCTTCCTAATAACCTAATAAGCCTTACTGAAACCGAATCCACTTGTAACCAACACCACATTGAAATCTGTATGTTCACGGTGTGTGTGTGTGTGTGTGTGTGTGTGTGTGTGTGTACCGGGATGTGTGTGTGCCAGGCATGCGTGTATATATCCAGCAGTGGCGTACCCGATCATGTGTCTAGTCTTGTCATAGTATGTTTAATCTCCTGGGTTATAAGTGTTGGGAACACTGACACACATCTCTCTGAGCACACTGACACACATCTCTCTGAGCACACTGACACACATCTCTCTGAGCACACTGACACACATCTCTCTGAGCACTCTGACACACATCTCTCTGTGCATACTGACACACATCTCTCTGAGCACACTGACACACATCTCTCTGAGCACTCTGACACACATCTCTCTGTGCATACTGACACACATCTCTCTGAGCACAATGACACACATCTCTCTGTTGCACACTGACACACATCTCTCTGTGCATACTGTCACACATCTCTCTGTGCATACTGACACACATCTCTCTGTGCATACTGACACACATCTCTCTGAGCACACTGACACACATCTCTCTGTGCACACTGACACACATCTCTCTGTGCATACTGACTCACATATCTCTGAGCACACTGACACACATCTCTCTGTGCATACTGTCACACATCTCTCTGTGTGCATACTGTCACACATCTCTCTGTGTGCATACTGTCACACATCTCTCTCTGTGCATACTGACACACATCTCTCTGTGTGCATACTGTCACACATCTCTCTCTGTGCATACTGACACACATCTCTCTGTGGACCCACTGTCACACATCTCTCTGAGCACACTGACACACATCTCTCTGTGCATACTGACACATATCTCTCTGTGCATACTGACACACATCTCTGTGTGCATACTGACATACATCTCTCTCTGTGTATACTGACACACATCTCTGTGTGCATACTGACAAACATCACTCTGTGTGCATACTGTCACACATCTCTCTGTGTGCATACTGACACACATCTCTCTGTGTGCATACTGACACACATCTCTCTGTCTGCATACTGACACACATCTCTGTGTGCATACTGACACACATCTCTCTCTGTGCATACTGTCACACATCTATCTGTGTGCATACTGTCACACATCTCTCTCTGTGCATACTGACACACATCTCTCTGTGTGCATACTGACACACATCCCTCTATGTGCATACTGTCACACATCTCTCTGTGTGCATACTGTCACACATCTCTCTCTGTGCATACTGGCACACATCTCTCTCTGTGCATACTGACACACATCTCTCTCTGTGCATACTGTCACACATCTCTCTGTGTGCATACTGTCACACATCTCTCTGTGTGCATACTGACACACATCTCTCTGTGTGCATACTGTCACACATCTCTCTCTGTGCATACTGACACACATCTCTCTGTGTGCATACTGTCACACATCTCTCTGACCACACTGACACACATCTCTCTGTGCATACTGACACATCTCTCTGTGCATACCGACACACATCTCTGTGTGCATACTGACATACATCTCTCTCTGTGCACACTGTCAGACATCTCTCTGTGCATACTGAAACACATCTTTCTGTGTGCATACTGTCACACATCTCTCTCTGTGCATACTGTCACACATCTCTCTGTATGCATACTGTCACACATCTCTCTGTGTGCATACTGACACACATCTCTCTGTGTGCATACTGTCACACATCTCTCTCTGTACATACTGACACACATCTCTCTGTGTGCATACTGTCACACATCTCTCTCTCTGTGCATACTGTCACACATCTTTCTCTGTGTATACTGACACACATCTCTCTGAGCACACAGACACTCATCTCTCTGTGTGCATACTGTCACACATCTCTCTGTGTGCATACTGACACACATCTCTCTGTGTGCATACTGTCACACATCTCTCTCTGTACATACTGACACACATCTCTCTGTGTGCATACTGTCACACATCTCTCTCTCTGTGCATACTGTCACACATCTCTCTCTGTGTATACTGACACACATCTCTCTGAGCACACAGACACTCATCTCTCTGTGTGCATACTGTCACACATCTCTCTGAATACACTGACACACATTATTATTGAAATATTTTGCCTGTCGAAGTGGGCCTTTTCACACGGAATCAGCGGGAGATTTTCCGTTGTTTTGAGAAGGGTTTAGTGGGTGGTATAAGGTGTGTTTAAATGTTCAGAGTAACATTCAGTACTACATCTACTTACATTGGAAAGCTAGCTTCTCGTCACCACCAGGTGGGAAGATACACGCAGAACCACTTTCCGCCGCTGACACACATCTCACTGAGCACACTGACATACATCACTCTTAGCACACTGACAAACAGCTATGTGTGCATACTGACACACATCTCTCTGTGCATACTGACACACATCGCTCTCTGTGCATACTGTCACACATCTCTCTGTGCATACTGACACACATCTCACTGGGCATACTGTCACACATCTCTCTGTGCATACTGACACACATCTATCTTTGCACACTGACTCATCTCTCTGTGCATACTGACACACATCGCTCTGTGTGCATACTGACACACATCTTTCTGAGCACACTGACACACATTATTATTGACATATTTTGCCTGTCGAAGTGGGCCTTTTCACGCGGAATCAGCGGGAGATTTTCCGTTGTTTTGAGAAGGGTTCAGTGGGTGGTATAAGGTGTGTTTAAATGTGTAGAGTAACAGTCAGTACTACATCTACTTACACTGGAAGGCTAGCTTCTCGTCACCACCAGGTGGGTAGATACACGCAGAACCACTTTCCGCCGCTGCTGTCGACGTTTGGTCAGTTGTTGCAGAGGTTGAAGTCACAGACGTTGTAACCAGCTCGCCTGTCACTTCCGGTAAAAGGCTTGTCACAGGAGGTAAGGTATCCCGGCGGTACTGTGTAAAAAGGTCGGCTTCAGGGGTCGTCTTCTCCATCCCCACGGATGTTAGTGTCGTTGCCGATGATACTGTAGCCGTTGCAGAGGATGGTGCAGCGGTGTCTTCACTGTCCGGCATGATGTTTCCTGTGGTTGAATCTACCGTTGCAGGGACACTTGCTGAAATGGTTTAAAGTATGGCTTGTACAACCTAGGTGTGTGAATTTGTAACTGTTGATCCGTGACACTGTCGGTTTGTTACGATTAAACATGGCTGCAATTGCATCCATATTGAAAATGTGAGTCCATTACGTAATCATTTCAACATGTATCAATAAGACAATACCAAGTTGCCTGCCGTCTGTCTGTGTCAGAGAGTCCGACGTCTCTCAGGTTGTCTGTTTATTGTGTGTATTCGTCATACAGCCTGACGTCTGTCCGTTAGGTTCTCCCTCGTCTGTTGCAAGTTTGTTAGATTGCTGTTTCGTATGGATGGTTATCATTTAATATGGTCATGCTCGCGGAACTATTTTGGTACCGTCAGCACAAGCATTTAACCATCCAGATGTTGATGTGTGTGTGGTTTATGTAGGTAATACATTTATGTAAGTGTCAACATACCTATCACTATGCGTTTTACCACCCACCCATCACCCTTTGAAAAGACTATTTCGGGCGCAGAGACAAAAATACACACCAATACAGACGTTTATGAAATACCTGTTTTTGTATACCGTCAAGTAGATCATCCATTGCATCATATCTCGACCATCTTATATGTACACGGAACACCATTTAGGGCTGTTAGACCTACTTTGATGTTATTGTACACGGAACACCATTTAGTGATGTTAGACCTACTTTGATGTTATTGTACACGGAACACCAGTTAGTGATGTTAGACCTACTTTGATGTTATTGTACACGGAACACCAGTTAGTGATGTTAGACCTACTTTGATGTTATTGTACACGGAACACCAGTTAGTGATGTTAGACCTACTTTGATGTTATTGTACACGGAACACCAGTTAGTGATGTTAGACCTACTTTGATGTTATTGTACACGGAACACCAGTTAGTGATGTTAGACCTACTTTGATGTTATTGTACACGGAACACCATTTAGTGTTGTTAGACCTACTCGTGTAGAAGGCTGAGCAGAGCGTGGAGTATCTCATGTTGGCGAGGTTGAAGGCCTCTACGACGTATCCTCTCTCTGCTACCCCACAAGAAGCACTCGCGCCCCGGGCACATGCAAGGTAGTCTCTCAGACCTCTGCAATATAAACTGCCGTTCAACAGAAACTCTACATTGTTAAATTATATGTGTAATACCTTGGCTAAAGGAAGCGGAATTCAGGTTCAAAACGATTGGACATTATCTGCCTATTAGGAATGCGTGCATTTTGAGAAATAGTGAGATATCATGTACGGGCTTAAAATGAGTAGAGGGTGTAAAAGCAGTTGGATCCCACAGCAATTCTTTTTGCACGCAAGACAGATGCCAGTTATCAACAAAACAGACAGACAGAGTTGTCTTGGAATTGGACTATGCAGATCCATATTGACAAACAGCTCTGGTACAGCAGACTGACCTATGCCAGACGATCTGAGCGACACCACCAGGAACACAAGCGACAGGCCACGAAGCAGTAGATCACGCTTGACCACCCGCAAGAGGACTGCAATCTGCGCATGTTACATCTGCGCAACCATTTCCTGGCGGTGACGTCATCGTCGTTGGCGGAACTGGGACGCCGCATGTCAGACCCTTATGTCAAGACGATTACTTACTGCAGGAAATCGGGCCAACATAGCCAACCGTGAAAATGCCTTGACCTGTCAACGTCGGTGTAAAGCGGTCAGTGGTCTCGAACTGTGCGACGTTGGCAGCGACGTGATTGTTCAAGAGTACAATTCAGCGACGAGAGCAGGTTCAACTCGTATGCTGGTGTATCCACGCAGACGCGAACACCGATAGGTTATCCCTTTTGGGGGCGGTGGCGTCGCTTGGGATTTGTGGTGAAATGTTCATCATCCGTGGAAATTTGAACGCATAGGGATACACAGTTTGGCATCCATGCAGGCAAAGATGGTGTAATATCCGGAATCCGTGTAGGCATAAATGATACACAAACAGGTATCCATGCACATACAGGGGGTCTCCAATCGGAGGACAGAGGGTATAAGACCGGGTATTTATGCAGGCATAGACGATATAAGACCGGGTATCCAAGCAGGCATATAGGGTATAAGACCGGGTATCCAAGCAGGCATAGAGGGTATAAGACCGGGTATCTATGCAGCCATAGAGGATATAAGACCAGGTATCCAAGCAGGCATAGAGGGTATAAGACCGGGTATCTATGCAGCCATAGAGGATATAAGACCGGGTATCCAAGCAGGCATAGAGGGTATAAGACCGGGTATCTATGCAGCCATAGAGGATATAAGACCAGGTATCCAAGCAGGCATAGAGGGTATAAGACCGGGTATCTATGCAGCCATATAGGATATAAGACCAGGTATCCAAGCAGGCATAGAGGGTATAAGACCAGGTATCCAAGCAGGCATAAAGGGTAAAAGACCGGGTATAAATGCACGCATGTAGGGTATAAGACCGGGTATCCATGCAGAAATAGGACTTGGTATCCATGCAGGCTTAAATTCTGATACCCATGCAGGCAAAGATGTCATAAGACTGGGTTTACATACAGTTGGTTCTTAAAACGAGGACGTTGATCTACCTACCGACAGAGGCGGGGTGTGTCAGCGCCGTGTGCGCCCAGTACAGACTCCATCCGAGTTTGGCACATTGTTAATGCTGGACATCCCCAGGCGCTGTGTGGAGACATTACAGCCAGGGCTAGAGGTACTGAAGCAGGGGAAACAGCAACAGTTAGAGCATGTCCGCCGTTCACAAAACGACCGTAGCGCTCCCATACTTTTCGTTGAGAATTCCACTCCAACTGTAGAATAAACTTAGTCTATGTGTCCTAAAGCCAGAACACGATAGTCTGGAGTGTATATCATGTTGTTTTGATTGATCCATTAAAGGGACAAGAACTCGAGTAGTTTTACATTGCAAACAAAGTTATGTAGTTGTGCAGGGCCACCTACAAGTGCCTCCAGATTATGGCCAAGAGACATGGCTTTCGGTACGTGCTAATCGGCAAATTCACCGTATATTGCTTTTGTAGGAGAGACAGAATCGTACACAATAAATTGTACGAAACATTTAATGGACGAATGCTCGGATGGCTGGAAGGACTGATGAGATCCCAATCAGAATTTGATATGTACTTACGATAAAACACAACTTTGCATGACTATTGAAACGTGAGCAAGTTAAACCATATGTCGCACTCCGGACAGGCAGGCAGTGACAAGACATAGGCATCACGTCGCGAACAGTCTAACGTGTTGTAGTGGAATCGGTACAATCGCAACAATCGCAGATACCGCCGATCTTGAGTATATATGATCACATTACCTTCCACCTACAATTGAAACCAGGACTTACACTTGGGAAACAGTATACTATTGATACGTGAAGGTTAATTGAGCTGAAACAGGGGGACTCACAATCAGGTGTCTTTGCCTATCAAAGTCTCGACTTGAATGCATGTAATAAGCGAGCAACTGATACACCGCCCCTGTGTATGTGGGAACTTGGCTCGGGGCAAGATGATGAATGCATCATTTACATAGAGACGATGTATCATTTCATATATAACCCTGCCATCTAAGCCTTAACTGAAAGTGGAACCGCTTCATGCAGTACAGGACCGCCCTTCCGCGATTATCCAGTGTATTTTTTATGCCCATTCCATTCTGATAATTACCCCGGACCCCTTCATTTCGACTATCTCTAACAGAATAAATCTCGCTCGTGTGAGTATTTTGATTGGATGGCTATGCATTACGACGTGTCGTCTCAAAACGACGCCTTGGTGTGATATCATATAGAATGGCGATATAATACACTAGAGAACGGAGGATGTGGACTACAGTTGGGGCTGAATCTGATCCATGCTGTCGCAGCATTAGAAAATTCTTACTTGAAAATAAAAGTCTGGGGTCCGGCATTCTGTATCTTCCCACCACAAGCTGCCTCGCACTGAATGGGAATTAGTGTTTAAGGGTTTAGCGCACACGTTTCACGGCAGTATACGCAGGGCGTTGACGTACAGGATATCTGTGTGCGCATTTCCCTTTCACGTCTACAGCATGAGCCGTGTTCAGGGCTTCGTCTGTCTCTGTCCTTATGCAGACGATATGATTCTTCGAATTCACTGATTAAACGTAAGGGGAAACTTGTCACTTGGTGTAGATCAACACGTGGATCAGTGGGCATGGACGTGTGGTGGATGGACGTGTGGGCATGGACGTGTGGGGGATGGACGTGTGGTGGATGGACGTGTGGGCATGGACGTGTGGTGGATGGACGTGTGGTGGATGGACGTGTGGGCATGGACGTGTGGGTATGGACGTGTGTGGGGTGGACGTCTGGGCATGGACGTGTGAGTATGGACGTTTGGGCATGGACGTGTGGGGAATTGACGTGTGGGGATGGACGTGTGGGTATGGACGTGTGGGCATGGACGTTTTGGGAATGGACGTGTGGTGGATGGACGTGTGGGATGGACGTGTGGGCATTGACGTGTGGGTGATGGACGTGTGGGTATTGACGTTTGGGCATGGACGTGTGGGGGATGGACGTGTGGGCATGGACGTGTGGGGGATGGACGTGTGGGCATGGACGTGTGGGGGATGGACGTGTGGGCATGGACGTGTGGGCATGGACGTGTGGCGGATGGACGTTTGGGGGATGGACTATTGGGTATGGACTAGAGGGGGTGGACGTGTGGGGTATGGACGTGTGGGGTATGGACGTGTGGGCATGGACGTGTGGGTATGGACGTGTCGGGAATGGACGTGTGGGGCATGGACGTGTTGGGGATGGACGTGCGGTGGATGGACGTTTGGGCATGGACGTGTTGGGGATGGACGTGCGGTGGATGGACGTGTGGGGGATGGACGTGTGGGGGGTGGACGTTTGGGCATGGACTTGTGGGGGATGGACGTGTAGGGGATGGACGTGTGGGTATGGACGTGTTGGGACGGACGTATGGGGGATGGACGTGTGGGGGATGGACGTTTGGGCATGGACTTGTGGGGGATGGACGTGTGGGGGATGGACGTGTCGGGAATGGACTTGTGGGGGATGGACGTGTGGGGGACGGACGTATGGGTATGGACGTGTGGGGCATGGACGTGTGGGAGATGGACATGTGGAGATGGACGTGTGGGTATGGACGTGTGGGTATGGACGTGTGGGCATGGACGTGTGGGTATGGACGTGTGGGGGATGGACGTGTGGGAGATGGACGAGTGGGTATGGACGTGTGGACATGGACGTGTGGGCATGGACGTGTGGGCATGGACGTGTGGGAGATGGACGTGTGGTAGATGGACGTGTGGGGGATGGACGTGTCGGGAATGAACTTGTGGGGGATGGACGTGTGGGGGACGGACGTATGGGTATGGATGTGTGGGGCATGGACGTGTGGGAGATGGACGTGTGGAGATGGACGTGTGGGTATGGACGTGTGGGGATGGACGTGTGGGCATGGACGTGTAGGTATGGACGTGTGGGGGATGGACGTGTGGGAGATGGACGAGTGGGTATGGACGTGTGGGCATGGACGTGTGGGCATGGACGTGTGGGGGATGGACGTGTGGGGATGGACGTGTGGGAGATGGACGTGTGGTAGATGGACGTGTGGGCATGGACGTGTGGGTATAGACGTGTGGGTTATTGACGTGTGGGGATGGACGTGTGGGTGTGGACGTGTAGGGGATGGACGTGTGGGTATAGACGTGTGGGGGATGGACGTGTGGGAGATGGACGAGTGGGTATGGACGTGTGGGCATGGACGTGTGGGCATGGACGTGTGGGGGATGGACGTGTGGGGATGGACGTGTGGGAGATGGACGTGTGGTAGATGGACGTGTGGGCATGGACGTGTGGGTATAGACGTGTGGGAGATGGACGTGTGGGGATGGACGTGTGGGTGTGGACGTGTAGGGGATGGACGTGTGGGGTATGGACGTTTGGGGATGGAATTGGGGGGGATGGACGTGATGAGGATGGACGTGTTGGCGATGGACGTGTGGGCATGGACGTGTGGGTATGGACGTGTGGGGGATGGACGTGTGGGGATGGACGTGTGGGTATGGACGTGTGGGCATGGACGTGTGGGGGGGTGGACGTGTGGGTATGGACGTGTGGGGGGTGGACGTGTGGGTATGGACGTGTTTGGGTTGGACGTGTGGGCATGGACGTGTGGGTATGGACGTGTCGGTATGGACGTGTGGGGGATGGGCGTGTGGGTATGGACGTGTGGGTATGGACGTGTGGTGGATGGACGTGTTGGGGATGGACGTGTTGGCATGGACGTGTGGGGGACGGACGTGTTGGGGATGGACGTTTGGGTATGGACGTGTGGTGGATGGACGTGTGGAGGATGGACGTGTGGGAGATGGACGTGTTGGGGAATTGATGTGGGGGATGGACGTGTGGGTATGGACGTGTGGTGGATGGACGTGTGGGGGATAGACGTGTGGGCATGGACGTGTGGGGGACGGACGTATGGGTATGGACGTAAAATTGAGCAAAATGTACACTAAAATTCGAAATTATCATCTTTACAAAAGAAAATGAGAAAGACGTTGCTCATAATAACCCATTTTTAAAAATAAAAACAATCCTCATTCAAAACTGTAAGACAGATGTTGTAAGATGTTGAAGTAAGAAAACTCAGTTTGTTCTCATGATGTAGCTATGGAAACAGAAAGAGGTATACCCGTAAATACGTTTTGAACGAACTACATCGTTTACATTTTACCCGAATATATATACATTATACATATATATATTATACACTGAATGTGGGTTCCATTACTTGTTAACGAATAATTTACAAAATACGATTATTTCTCATTTGTGAGTAATATGGAACCATTAAAGCCAGATTTCAAATGCTACTGCTGTCATCTCAGCATCTATACCTTTCAAGAGGTAATAAACCACTGTATAGAGGCCCACAGTAGTGAACCTCTCTAGTAGACCTTCTCTTCATCCTGACATTGGAAAGCAACTGTACCGGGTTCGGAACTACGAGTACGTCTTCACCCGTATGCAGTAAGCAGTTGTAGGCTAAACACAGAAAAATTGGTTTTGCAAAATTTGCAAGTAGGCAGTATAGGCGACGTTACCAATGAGAATAGATCCAGATGTCAAGGTCAAAGTATACAAGAACTCAAACTGAAATAAAAATAAGAGTTTATTATACATATGTGTATCTCCTTGCATTCTATAGGCTGAGGTCCAACGAAATGTCAGTAACACTAAAGACAGTATTAGGACAATATCCAATGTTTTCTTCCAACAATATACTACTTAGATCACTAAATTACCAACTTCATTGTGGATCATACCAAAAACATGAAGCGAAAATAACAGAATGAAAATAAACATGTGTCCAAGGTAAAGAGGTTGATCGGACGCTGAACCAATGATTGTGCTAACTTCTGTTTCAAAGTTGTCAGTTGCCCCCCTTTGATTTATTTGAATCAAGTTGGGGACAAGTGATAATTGTACAAATATTTGCCCCCCTGTCAAAAAAAGTTAACTGCGGCCTTACATTCCTCAAACAAATCCACAAAACACTTAACATGTAATATAAGCTACTTCAAATTGCCAAATGTCGAACGATTCGACATTTTATCGATGGGCCGTAGGACATGGCGAACCTTCAGTGTACTGGATACGTTTGTTTGTTTGTTTGTTTGTTTGTTTCGCACCACACACAATATTCCAGCTATATGACGGCGGTACTGGATACACAATATGTATGTGTTAAAATGATTTTATTTTTAAATGAAAATATTATATGTAATTAGATTTCAGATTTGTAGTCATTTGCTTCTGGGAGCTGATTGAACAGTTTGTTTCATGCGCGCCTCAAGGCATTACATTTGGCTGATGAATTTGGCCACTGAGAAATTATGATGTCGAAGTTGTCCCTGTAACATGGCCAACTCGAGGCGTGGCAGCTTAGAGGGAGGAAAACCCGAAGTATTGCAGACCCTAGATATTTACCACTTTGGTGAAACCACAACCAAGCACCTACAAGGTGTTGACAGAGCAAGGGTCATAATACAGGACCATATAAGGCTCCTTGAGATGGGTGCCTACTTTTCCATATCTTTACCATAGTTGTAGAGCTAGGTTTGCTTTGAATACACGTAATCATGAAACAACAGTTATCATTGTTAATAATTCAAAGAATCCTCAAAATCCTCCTCCGGTGCGCCAGTGGTAAGGTCTCAATGTGATCAAGACGTAAGCGTGTGTTCGACGGTCCTGGCTCCAAACAGTGCCAAGGTTGGTTCACGGGATGACTATGGCGTTCAGAGTTCTAACTCATGTCACCCTGTCTAACATCATGTCTGCGAGCCATTGGTATGCTTGAAGCCGGATCGAGTCAACGTGATGTTGCAAAACAATTTAACGTCCACAGAAACACCATTTGGTGTTTATGGCAACGTTGGCAACAGACGAATACAGTCAGAGACCATCCTCGGAGTGGCAGGCCACGCGTAACCAATAATCGACAAGACAACTGGATTCGAACAACACACCTACGAAATCGATTCCAGCCAGCAACAGTGACTGCAAGAAGCATCCCTGGCCTTCGACGAATATCTTCACAAACTCAGATGTGCAGGGATTGTCGCCAGAAGACCCGCCAGACGTCCCATTTTGACAGGAAACCACCGTCAAGCACGTCTACAGTGGTGCAGACAGCGTCTACGCTGGACGGCCATGCAGTGAGGACAAGTTCTATTCACTGACGAGTCTCGTTTTCACCTCAACCACAGCGATGGACGGATTCGAGTGTACCGACGTCGAGGTGAACGTTACGTCAAGCATTGTGTCATGGAAGAAGATCGGTTCTGGGACGGCAGCTTTATGGTATGGGGTGGGATTACAGCAAGACAGAGGACCCATTTGATAGTGGTAGAGGGAAATCTCAGTGAACAGCGCTACCGCGACGAGATCATCGGCCCTGTTGTTCTACCGTTCTGTCGTCATGGCCCAGGCATTACCTTTCAACATGACAACGCCCGGCCTCACTTC